GGAAAATTAAAAGGAGATCGTGCAAAAGAAGCACAGAATAAGCGAAAGCAAAAAAATAAATAAAATATATATCAATATAACTTCAATTTTTTTAAAAATAAAAATTACCAAAATATAAAAAGGGGATTGATATTTCTACACCCTATTTTTGATATTTCTACACCCTCCGCTAACAAAATTCTATATTTGGTAAGATTGATGTACACAAGCTTTGCAACAAATTTACAATAAATCGGCATGCATATAATAATTACATAATTAACCTGTATACAGTAAATCGTACTTAAATTCAACTTGACGTTAAATGAATTTTACCTAAATAAAGATCACAGCTTGTAGTAACTCATGTAAAAAGGACGAATTTTTAATGCATCGTGGAAAAATTATATAAATATTGGAACATTATTTAATTAAATAAAGGGAATATGTACTTGCCGATTTAACCTTCTTAGTTAACATATTATTCATCATTAAGCATATCATTTGTATAATATTAAAAATCATTAAAATTAATTATAAAAAGCGTAGTTAGTGAAAGCATACGAAAAAAATCATAAATAATTTATATTTAAAATTTACTATGTATTGTATGAATAATAGAATAAGGGATAAATAAACAATGGATTTATGTATTGTTCATTTTGTAGAACATTAGTAAAATTTAAAATTTTATATAATTACGCCTCTCAGCATCACTTATTATAAGGGTTTAAAAAAAAGTAATCATTATAATTTTTCAACTTATATTTAATAAAGCGCGAAAGAAAACAATATTATTTATATATTATCACTCTATTTAACTACAGTATTTTATCAAAAGAGCGATAAAAATGCAAATTTCTATTTGAGATTTACATACAATAGATGTTTAAGACTTTATAGCAATCTACGAATTTACTTTAATCTAATTTCAATTTGTACCATATTACACATTTGTATATTCTATTAATCATTACTCTAATAACTACCATCAGGACAAGTCCTACTATTATGTCCAATTTTATTGCATGTGCCACACCTTCTAGCTGTTGTTTTCAATTCTTTCTCAAAAGCCGAAGAAATTCTTCGAGTAGATAATGAGGTATTATTTTGTGATCCGGTTGGTCGTCCTCTAGTACGTGCAATGGTTGGCTCTAACAGAAGTGGTGGAGGTTCTTGAATCATTTTCAAGAGTTTAGCTTGAACTATTTCTTGTTGCGGTGCTAGCAAGGAATTATATTTTTGACGTAATTCATTAAGCACTTGATCAAATGGATAATTCTCCACCATCAAACTTTGTTCCTTTTCAATCCACCATTGATGGTGAATATCACAAAGACTTAACGATTAACAAGCTACCAAATGTTTTTTAATTATATAGCACATGGTAAACCCATTGTTGAGCTTAGTGTGCTGGTACAAGATGGTAGAGGATTTGCAGATGAAGATGTTGATACTTTTAGAAATTCTTTATGCACTTTACTTAGTGCAAATGATAAGACTTTAGTAACTAATTCATGATAAAATAGGTTATTATATTCATGCAAGATTCGTGTTTTTTCCTTGGCAATCCTTGCCTTAAGTTCGGTATATTGATTTTCAAGTAAAAGTATAAGTTTTTCATATACCATGCTTAAATTTCCAGTTGATACCTGCGGTATTGTTTTAATATTGAATGTGTACCTTCTACTCTCGAAGTTGCAGTGTTACCCAGGTGAAGATGTCTGTCAATCCACGCACTCACAAATCTATCCTTAAATGGTAGCCATACATTTTCAAGATAATTTATAGTAGTTGAATTTTTATCATAACTAATTTGTAGTTTTTGCCACTGAGTTGTGAAATCATCTTCTGTCTTTGACTTAACAATTCCTGTCCAATATTTAAGAAATTCATTCCATGCTTCGTCAGTAGAAAAATTTTTTTTGCATTTACTTAAAATATTCTTTTCTATATGCCATAAACAAATAAGATTTTTTGATTCAGGGAAGACATGTTCAAGTGCATTCATAAGGGCTAATTCTCGATCTGTAATCACAAATTTCAGCTTTTCAATTCCATTAAATATGCAAGATACTCATGTAAGCGCCCATATATAATCATCTTTGTTTTCATTTTTAATAAAAATAAAACATGAGAAAAAGGTTGTATTGAAGCAAGTTACTCCAACAATGTTAAGCAGTGGCATCTTGAATTTGTTCGTTTTGTATGTACAGTCCATCAATAAAACTGAAGAATAGGTTCGAGTTAACTCAATAGACTTGCGATGGGAAAAAAAAAGATGTGTAATATGCCCATCTGAATCACACATATAATCATATTCAAAAGGTCCATTCTTAAGATCGTCTAAAAGAGCTTGAATAGGCGTTCGTCCTTGAAGATAATCATGGCGAAGCTTTTTTTGTGCATTATAAATATCCCGTGATGTTGCAATAGAACCACGTTGATTTAAAGAAGACAAAATTTGTTGAGGACGAATGCCAGCCTTTGACATAGTATTTAACTCCTCTAAAGCTTGCTTATCTAGTCTTCTAAGAGATGGATGGGCCAAAGAACTCTTGGATAGTTCGTGATTATGATTTGGGTTGGTAATAGACAGAACCCATAAACTGTCAGACTTTTTATCGCCACGAAGAGCAAAAGAACAATCGGCAAGCCTGGTGCTAGTATTTCTGCGACGTGTTTCATTAGTAAGGTTCAAACGATTC